TGAATCATGCCGAGCTTCACGAATTTAAAGAAGTTGAGCTCGACTCGAGACTTATATTCATTTATTATTTATTAAAGTAAACGGGTCAAACATAGCTGAACCAATTCATTTATTAAATGAACACTGCTCTCATATGACCAGTTTAGCTAATTGAACTTGTTTTCTCACGGGCGCCCCGTACGCCATAACATTTCTTCCCAATAACAAATATTGAAAATGTTACGGTCCCGTTATGAAATCATTCAATTCGGGGTTTGTAACCGTTGAATCCTCATGTAACCGTCGAAGATATAGTTGATCTGTTACAAATCCTGACGGAATGTTTCCGTAACGGGACCGTAACATCTCCCTAATAAATATATAAAACTTCAAACAGAAAGAAAAAATATAGTTGATCTGCAAGGCCATTATTTTCCCTTTATGGTCTAGTATATAAGCGGCACTAGCAAATTATTGAAAAAACAAAAAATAAATAATCATTCTATTTTTATTTGATGTGATTATCTTTCAAAATGGAATTAAAAAAATTCAGATATTGTATGAATAAATCAGTCGTGTGGGCGAGCAATGATATGATATTGATTTTTTTTCCCTGATAAATTAAATTAATTGAGAATCATCACTAAAGTCAATAACAAACCACAACCACAACATTTTGCCTATTTTTATCCAAGAGAGAGAATCATACAAAGATGTACAAACAAATTTATAAATAAACAACACGCCAATAATACGCCAATAATCACAACAGCTACTATTAACCGACATTTTACAAAATTCAATAATGACGGTTAGTTAAGTGAAATAATATCAAATTGGATTATCATGTGTGATGAATTTTTAATATTTCCAATATTGTATTTAACAAAACTATAATTCATTGGTCATTCATTTATCATCATCATCATTAGAGTTGTAATTGAGTCGAGTCAAGTTTGATATCATAATACTCGAATTTTCAGGTGCGCAAGCCTTTATTTATCCAACCTTAACTCGTTAATTAAATGAGTCTGATGTAGCACCAAAAATAATTCGGTAGACCGTTCTGAGCGGTTAGCTCAGATGAGGCCGGTCCAAGGAAGCGTAGAGCCAAAATTATTCGATATATGGTATTGGTTAAAAATATCCATGAAGATTTAGAAAATAATCCTAAAAGTTATTCATGAAAGTTGATGTATATCTACATAGTTATTATGGGTGATCAGAATCCTTGACTATGAAGGATATCCTTTTTTCTTGGGGAATAAGCCGTTAAATCCTTATAAATAAGGATTTCAGGTTCAATTTCTAGACCTAAGCTCTTAAGATTACGTAATATACACTATCAAAATATCTGTTTTCTGACTTGAGCGTCGGAGTGTCTACGCCTCGGTGCTTTGCAGGTTGATCCGATTCTTGAAAACGAAGGCAATCGAGACAGCCGAACTATCACGCGACCGAGATAAAGCGGTTCGACCGGCATCCTCTGTGAGTCTATTCTTTTTGGCTCATCAGAGTCGATAAATGAGTATTGTCTTGATCCATTTATCAATATTAATCAGCCAAACTCGAAACTCAATAACTTGCATTTATTAAAAGTTGAAAATACATGCCAAAGATCTAAATTTTCGAGTTAACGAACCTTACGGCCAACC